CTAATGCAAACATGAAGCCATTTTATGTAAGGGGCTCAAGCATCCACGGATTCTGGTATCAGGGGAGGGGGTGTCTTGGAACCGACCCCTTGAGGATACTGAGAGGATGCTCTACTCTCTTCCTTTGATTTTCCTACCGGCACAAAGGCCTGCTTTTTCTCCCACAGCACGGAGTCCTTTCCAAACTTGACCTTCTCCACCCCATAACTAAAACTGGACTCCGTCCAGAAGTGAGGGCTTCCTCCTCTACTCCACTATCTTCCTTGGGCATCTCATCCTATTCAGTTATTACGTTGGGTAGAGAAGACTTCTGAGTTTATATCTTTGAGCTTCTGACATTTGTCCAACTGCCTATCCCACTCATATGCTCAAAGGCACTTCCAACTTTACATGTCCAAGATCAAGGTCATACTGTTTTCTCTCTCACCGATCCAGTGGCCTTCCAGGAAAGGATGCTTTTGTCTACCCACATATACGAGCTAAAAATCTAGGAATGGCCTTTGCCACCTCCCACCCCCAGCCCCATCACCAAGTCTTGTTTCCATTTAATTATCAAATCACTTCCAAACCCCTCTACTTCTTTCCTAGTCTCACGTCATCATCAGCTTTGATTCACACAGCCCTCAGGAAGGCTGAAAGCCCAAATTTGTGACCGCTGTGTGGATCAAAGCTGGGTGTAAATTTGTCAGCTTCAGCCTCCCAGAGTGGCCAATACTTACCAAACTGCAAGTGGATCAAAAGATCAGTTCAGAGGACTATGGGCAATACTTCAAAAAACAGAGGCGAATAGAAAGAATCAGGAAGGACCATACATGGTACGAGTTCATTAACTTTATTTTGGCCGGCTGGATAGATGTGGATGGATGGATGTGTGAGTGGGTGAAGAGATGACTGGACGGATATCTAGATGAAGTAGGTAATGATTCTTAATGGTAAGTACTTTTTTTTTTTGTTTGTTTTTTGTTTTTTACTGTGGATCACAGTACAAAAATGTTTAAGTGCTGTTGCAAGAAGCTGGGCATGGTGTCACTGGACGTGGGGGCTCACGCCTGTAATCCCAGCACTAGGGAGGCTGAGGCAGGAGTACTGCTGTGAATGCAAAGCCCAGGCTGGGCTACACAGTGAGTTCAAGGCAAGCGTGAATTACAGAATGAGACTCTGTCTCAAAAAACAAAACAAACAAACAAACACCTAAGCATGGTGGCACACAAGGTACTCAGGAAGGTGAGGCAGGAACATGGCTCACTTGAGTTCAGCCTGGGCAACACAGTAAGATCCCATCTCTTTAAAAACAATTAAAAATAAATGACACTGTGTGGAGTTAGTTCATTTCTCTCCCACTCCCTAATTGGCTATAGGAGCTTGGTGCATGCACAGGAGGCTCCTGGCAGACACTAAGAGGCACCAGGCAGACTGAGTTTCTGGAGACAGGGAGAACGCTGTTGTGGTTATGTCTAAATGATCCCCCAAAGCCTCATGCGCTTGTAGGTGAGGCTTTGAGAGTTGACTGGATCACCGCTGTCGGTGTGTGACCCTGGATCTGTCCGCTGATGGGTTTCTAGTTGGGAGGAGAAGCCTGGTGGGAAGGGTAGGTCACTGTGGGCAGGGCCCGAAAGGGTTATGTTACCGTCCTCTTCCTATGAGCTCCTCTTTGCCTCCTGCCTGCCATGCCATGAGCTTTCTCCCCTGCCAGGCCTCTCTGCCATGCCTTGGAGCCTGCTGACTATGAACTGAAACCTCTGCAAACTCTGAGCCAAAATAAACTCCTCCTTGAACTTGTGAGTGTCAGGTATTTTATCCCAGCAAAAGTCCCTGGAAAACTGATGTCTGAGGACTTTCTCCCTTGTCACTAAAGCCAGCCAGTGCCGAGCATGCTCCTGTCTGGGCCTTGCTGGGTGCAGCGCTAGAGTCTGTCCCCAGACAGCTCACCCTTGGCCCTGAAGCCAGGCACAATGAGGACCAATTCTTCAGTACATGGCCTTGGGAGGGGCTGATCAAAGTCAAGGAGCTGGCTGTCTGTTGGGGTTTCCCTGCATCCCATTCTGATCAAGGTATCAGCCCCAAGCTCTTGGCCCACTCCCTTCTCCAGTGCCCACCTCACTACCTGCACTTTCCAGGACCCCCAACTAATCATTAACCTGCTCTGGCTGCTAAAGGAAAGGACCAGATTTCTTAGCTTGGCATTTGAGGTGCCTTCAACCTCCTCAATTCCTGTGCTGCTGTCACCTCCACAATCCCCTCCATTGAAAGACTGCTTTGGCCTCACCCACCTGCTCACTGAGACCCCTTTGGCTAAACCTCTCCTGTGTCCACAGCCACATCCAGCACAGTCTTACCAACCTCCTGCTCCATCCTGTGCGAGACACGGTGAACATCTAAGCAGTACACTTGGGGAGCACACACGTGGACTTGAGCCCTGGACACATCTTTCATGGCCAGAGTGGGAAGGCCAGCCGCCAAGGCCCTCTATAAGCCCCTGTCTTCAGCCCACAGGCCCCATCCTCCCGCCCGCACCTTGACAGCCCAGCTTCTCGCCAGCTCCTGACACACAGCTGCCTGTCTTATCTCCTGTGTCTCTGGCTGCTCCGTCTGCCCCAGTGCAGCCCACAGTGGCTGCCAGTGCACAGCCCTGGCCCAATAAGCAGGTGCAGACGGATTGACCGACGAGTGGGAGATGCCAGAGCCCAGGTGGGAGCAAGGTCCGTCTGGCCTTTGTCTCCTACCCACATGGGGCCTCGGTGACAATGTGTGGAGAGAAAAGGCTAAGCAGAGGTCAGAGACAGCCGGTGTCTGGGGTGAGGCCACCAAACCCTGCTTGACACAAGCCTCTTGGGAGGTGGACACTTTTGTCCCCTCCCTGAGCCCAGAGCTCTGGCTGAGAACAGACCCTGAGAAAACTGCAGTTGCAAGTGCTTGAGCAAGACTGGCCCAGCCTCTGGTCTCTGCTGCTCCATTAAGAGGTCTACTTGCACTTCCTAGGCCCAGGGCAGTATCTTGCCACTAAAATTTATGCAAATGAAATAATGAGCAATTTGGGGAAAGGAATGAAATGCGGAACAGCCATCCAAACCACCCCAGACACCCGCCTGGAGGGGTTTGCAAGTTGAGCAATCATTTAAAAGACAATTTAAAGTCACTTGCTGGGGGCAAAAAAAAGGAAAAAGAAAACATGGGGTTCCTGCAGTGCCAGCAGGCCCTGTGGCTTCTTAAGGTCTCACAGGACTCCCGGTGGGGAGTGTGAAGGCCAGGCTGGGGAGGGACTGCTCTTTGTGCTCCAGTGGAGGCCACCCACTAGCCTCTCCACAGGCTGTGACCCCCGTCCTGGCATCCTGAAACGTCCACCTCACTCCCAAACTCAGACCCAGGGAAAGCCCCAGGTCCAGCTGGAAAGACCAGAAATGCCCACCATCTTAGAGAAGGGCCCACCCCGGGGTCAGGGTACTCTACACATTGTTCATTCATTCCTTTGACAAATCTTCCCTGAGTGCCAATTCTGCACTGGGTACTGGAGATATGGCTGGAAACAAATGTTCATTCAGCAAACACTCACTGTCCACAAGTTTCCTACCATAACTGGCCTGGGAGGGAGGAGAGAGATACAAAAATGAACTGAAAACATGGCCACTGGCCTTCAGGAGTTTGTGGTCTGGCAGGAGAGGACAAATGCATGGACAAAATCCAAATTCCAGGCATCAATAGTGTGGGAGAAAACGCACAGATCAAGAGATCATTGCTAAGGGGATCATCAGAGACATCTTCACTGACAATGTGCTACCCGAATGGGCGTTGAGGAATAGGTAGGAGCTGGATGGTGGTGGGAAGGAGAAAATTATGAAATTCCAGGTGCTCTGGAGAAAATGGCATGACAAAAATGTAGGTCATGGGGACTCCTGGACCATCGCCTCTCCTCTGTCCTGACCCTTAGGCAGGGAACGAGCCTGAGAGGGGAGTCACTTATTTAGTCTTCCCTGCCATCCCTGCACATTCCTTCCTAGAGATCAGGGCTGATGTCAAGGACCTTCCTCTCTCAGCCACAGTGAGGAGCAGGAAGGGGTGATGAGGACGGAAAGGGTGGAGCAAGAGGCTCCCACTGCAGAGGAGCCTGTGCAGGGAGCAGAGGGGTGGGCTCAGCCTTTGGTTCCCCGTTCTCTCCCTGCCCCACGGTATGTGTCTCAGTTTGCAAGACAGGGCAAGGAAGGGGTTGTAAAGCTTAGCTTAGTTTCCAGAAGTAAAAGAAAGAAGGAAGGAGAAAGGCAGGAAGAAAGGCAGGGAGGATAATATTACCATACGACAGAACTAAGAAGCAGGCACCAAGGACAACCATTGACACTCTGCTCTCCTAAGTCTTAACGACATTGGATTAAAATAGTTTCAAGTCGGTTTACTTCTGTAAAGACTTCAGGACACAGGACATTTCTGGCCTTGCTAACCTCAGCTGCTGGTCTGGTGCTGGAAATTTTCCAGTCCCTCATTTCAGGAAAAGCTGCCCCTTCCACAGGCTGGGACTCAGCTGCTCCTTAGTGACTCAGTTTCCCCTTAGGGAAGACTGACTCTAAGAAGATTCTAGAAAACACCATGAGGCAGAACAGCAGGAGGGTGTGAGGAAGTGGCCTCACAGCTTGCGAGCAAGAAGCAGGGACGACAGGTGTTGTACATGAGTGTTACGTGTGTGTGTGCATAGGCGTGTGTCTGCATGAGGGTGTCCACATAGGTGCATCTGGGCCAGGAGTGTTCACACTGCCCTGTGAGCAAGGGCTGGCTCAGGCCACGGATGTGAAGAGGAATTCAGAAAGTTAATGGTGGGCCCAGGGCTGAGCCCCAGGTCCCCCACACACCAGTCCAAAGCCCTGTTAAGTTCTGCAGGCCAAATGAGACGGCCAGGGAAGGGCTCCAAGAGCAACTAAGTCTCCACCTTGCCTCAATTATGACCTCAATCTTCGAGGCGGTGGAACCACTGAGCCAAATCCCCAGCCCCTGTGACCTCAATCTGTAGACAATACAATAGCACCAGAAGTAAAGAGTCTTGTCTTGGCCACAAATTGGCAGCTTATGCACCAGCTGAACCCAACCTAACCCAACCACGCTGAGCAACTACTTTGGGAGGACATGGAGAGGCTCTGGTGAGTACAGGACTGGAGCTACCCTCTTCTTCAGGGCCCAGGAGAGAGTGATGTCAAGACTGAGTCGTTGACCCAGAAAGTGGCTAATGAATAATTTTAAGGAACAGAAAATAGGCCAAATCTTCCTAGAGTGGGGGTGTGACGTGCAGGGGCTCCAAGGCCAGAGGCAGCTGTGGTGAGAACACCACCAATGAGGCACTCTGGGGCGAGCATGAAGGGAGGAGTGCACAAAGATGCCCTGGGCAGAGCAGGTGGGGCGACATTCAGAGCCAGATATCAGCTGCTCTCAAATGCATCCCAGCAGAACAATGACTCTCCCATAGCAAGCAAGGGCAGATCAGGCAGGGGATGAGGACAGAGGCACGAGGACCTAGCAAAAGTGAGCAGTGGCTGGAGCTGAGCTGAAGCATGGGGCTGGAGAGAAGAGAAAAACCCAGGGCAGTCACAAGTTGGGAGACATCATGCCTTACGGGGAAGTAGATGGGGACCAGGCTCCAGGCAGGAAACTCAAAGAATATGGGTCAGGATTCGGGGTGAGAGATGCCAGGAACACACAGATGGGGATGCCCATTAGGCAGCATCCCCCAGATCTGGAACTCAGAGACAGGCCTCCCAAACTAGACTGTCAAGTCCAAGAGCAAGTTTTCTCACCGCTCTCAGGACCCAAAATGAAAGCAGGGGTGGAAGGAAGACTCTGTTAAGAGGTCCTAGCTAGATTCATTTCAGGTCTCTAACTGCCTAGCACACACAGCCATGCTCGGACGGAACCTCTGTGGGCTCCAAGCTGCAGTGTCTGGGTCTGCACATTCACCTGACACCTGAACAGACCCTGAAGGATGCTAAGCAGTGAACATCTGTGCACCGGAACCTGAGAGCACAGGGCTACACGAGAGAAGCAAGTGGTTTCAGAGCGAGTGAGCCTCATTCCAGCAGCTCTCCACCCTGGCTCCACAGTAAATCACCTGGGAAGCTCCAGAGATTCTGATTAATTCATGTGGAATGAGGCTATGGTACAGGTAGTTTTTTTTAAAAGTTCAAAGTGATTCAACCAAACTCCATGACGTACATAGCCTTAGATCTTAAGTGTTTCCCAAAAGCCCGTGCGTAAAAGGCTTGCTCCCCAGCCTGGCACCACTGAGAGGTGTCGGAAACTTTGTAAGAGTTGGGACCTAGTGGGAGATCTTAAGGTCACTGGGGGCACGCCCTTGAAAGGGATACAGGGACCCTGCTTTTTCTTCCTCTCTTTCACTCTTTGGCCATGATGTGAGCAGTTTTGCTCTACCATGTGCTCCCTGCCTGATGTGTAGCCACAGACCCAAAGCAATGCGGCCAACTAATCATGAACTGAAACCTATAAAACTTTGAGCCAAAACATACCATTTCTCCATAAGCCAATTATCGTAGGTATTTGCTATAGCAACAGAAAGCTGATTAACACACCAAACTTCATTTTTCAAGCAAGATCCAGAAAGCTGTCTGAGGCAGATGTGGCTGCAACCCCAGCAGGCAAAGAACATTGTGGGGGGTACACTGAGGTGGGGAGAAGGGTGAGCACGCAGTTATCACGGAGGGAATGGCAAGAAGTCATTTATTTGGAGGACAGATTAGTAGCCCCAACAAGGTAGGGTACCAGCAAACATTTTAGGGAAACCCATTTCTGTGATTGGCTGGGCTTTTAACCATCCAGTGGTAAGGTCTGGGCACAGAAGATCAGAATCCACTCACTTTCTTGCAGGACAAGAATGATGCAAAGGCCTCTGCCTCTCGGCCACCTACAGTCACTACTGGCATGGGTGCAATAAACCCAAGGCTCAGACTCGGACATAGCAAGTCACCAGGGAAGCAAGGGGGAGAGACGGTACTGCTACTGCCACTAGCTGACCAGGACCTCTGGGACAAGACTTCAGATGGGCACCTCACCTCTTAGTCACGTCTACAGATTAAATGAGAGAACCACAGCCAAACCACCTCTCCAGAAGCTGAATCTGGAAAGACACCTTGAGCTGCCTCTCTGGAGGCCCCCAGTGGATTCTAACAGGCCAAAGAAGAAAGCTGCATCCCTTGCGCTCCCCAAGGGCAACTAACCTCCCTACTGCACATGAACAATCTGGGGGCCCCTCAAGGGGAAAAAGGGGGGGATGAACAGCTGTCCAGGATTTAAGAGAAGTTGGCAGGGTGGTTGGTGACTCGGGCTTGGTCAGTAATGTTGCAGTGGGTGACCATGGTGGCTCAGAGGACGAAAAGATTACTCGGAGGCAAGACTTGGTCTGAACTCTAAGAGGGACTGTCCTGATGAAAGCACCCAGCAAGAAGGAGTCTCAAGGGAGCAGTCCTGACTTTTTTGCAGGGAAATACTGCACGGGAAGAAAAACAGCTGGGATGTGAGAGAACAATGAGGTCTGCTACATGACATTTTTTAGTTTAATTTTTTTAGGTGGTTTTTAGGTTAATCTAAGCAATTTATTTGGCAGGGGGAAGGAAATCAGCTGAACCTAGCTTGCATCCCTAATCTTTAACCGTATATTCCAGGGCCCATGTGCTTTTGCCCAGAGGCTCCTTCATAACAAGGAGGTGTCCAGCCAAGACACTCCACACCCAGTAACAAGGAGTAGTTGTGAAGGAAATCTCATCTCAAGCTGACAGCATGCACAGTCTAGGCAGGGACTGGCCAGAACCCTTAAACAATGGCATTTAACTACTCCAGGAGTCAGGCTGGACTACATTCATTCTGATCCTGTGTTCTATCAATGTGGACATGTCCTTCATTTCCCTGTTGATTCACTAAACATGCCCATTGGCTAGACATGGTGCTATGATCTACCCAAGAGGAGAGCACGAAGAGGAACAGTGTGGCAGCTATGCTTGAAAAACTCACATTCAAACCAAGGAGGCAGGCATGAAGCAGGGAGGATGGATGTAAAGCATATACTTTGGGAAGAGTGGTCCAAAGTAGATGAGGGAGACACAGGAGTTTTGAAGAGATGAAGGCATTCCTGGCAGGTGAAACAGCAGAAGCAAAGGTCTGGAGGTGGGAATGTGTACTGTTCATAAAAATACACAGCCCAGCCAGGGATTTAGCTCAGCGGTTCGGTGGCCTGCCTTGCAAACGCAAGGACCTGAGTTCAATCCCCGGTACAAAACAAAACAAAACAAAACACACAGCCTGTTAGCAGACAAGGTGAGAGAACACTAACCCCAGTCCTTGAAGTGAGGAACCCAGCCCTCCAGGCTGACTGTCAACATGAAGTTAGCACAGGTAGCCATCCACTACCCTGACCCAATAGTCACCAGACTGCCATCTGGGGGTCTGAACAAGTCCTTGATGGTTTTCAGACACCAAGACATAACTTCTCTGGGGACCAAGCACCAACACACCAAGAGCCTCCCCGCCAACAAAGTACCTCCATCCAGATCTAAAGCCCAGGTGGCTGGGCTGCTGGAGAAGGTCTAGGAAATCACAGCTTTCTAGTGCACTCCTTTGTTGGATCCTGATTTTCCATATTTGGTCAATTCTAAGATGCACCTTTCCCCAGATTTTGCTAGGTCTGGGACCACTGTTGGTCTGGCAGGGGTGGCTTCAATGGTCACTGGCTGTCCATAAGTGTCCCCATCTACAGAGAGGGAAACAACGACCACAGGGTTCAGAGAGACGATGTGCTCTAAATATCAAGGAGGTGACAGTGTGGGAAACATAGGCATTGATGAGTAAGAATCAGACAGAAATGCAGAGCGATGAACACTGAGTAGAATGTGCTTGGGGGAGGGGTCCCCCTTGATTTCATTTATATTTTCTTTTGATACATGTATAGCCTCTAGACTTGATAGAACCATAAACTGGATAAAACTCAGCCCGTCACTCTGAATGCTGAAGCTGGAGAGGCCCATTCCTTTCTGAAGAGGGAAAGCAATCAGGCCAATGAAAATAATGAGAGTGGCAGGCCCCAGACCAGAACTCAGACCCCAGGCCCACAGTTCAGCATTCTTTCCGTGGCATCAGGCAGCTCAGTGTCTCCACCTCCACCTCTGAACAGATGTTCTTCCCTCTGTGCGGAAGCAGCTCTCTGAAGCTTTCAGGTGACTTGGCCCCCTAGCCACTGGGAAGCCCTACAAGAAGATCCCTGAATGGTACCCCTCATGGCTGCACTATGAGGTCAGCCCCATGCTGGCCTGGGTATTTTTCCTTTTCTTCAAATCTGACTCGCAAAGACTTACCACCTAAGGGAAAAGTTAATCTCAGACCTCTCTTTTTGCTGGTCGTGGCAATGAAAGCCAGTGCTGTATCAAGTAGTGTTTTACTAGGGAGAGACATCTAGGGACGTCAGAGCCACCCTTTGATTTCCAAGTGAGGAGAGGCAGTTCCTGCCCTGGGGCTACACACAGCAGAGTTAGGCTAGAGTGTAGACCCTTGGGGTCATTTTTCAGTTCTCTTTCTTCCGTTCCACAGCAGATGGGCTAAACCACCAATGGGATTTTTACTTAGTCCAGGAACAACTTCATTCTGTCCTGTTGGCACATGGAAATCCTAGGAAGATTCTGATTTTGTCACCCTTTGCACTCAGGTTAAGGCATCCAGCCAGGCAATCCTGAGAATGAAGCTGGGACAGGACACTCTACTAGGGGTCCCCATGGAATAGATATGAAGAGTTCCTGAGGGGGGAGACCAAAGGGACCAGGTGTGGCAAAGATCCTGGGATTGCTTCCTCCCATCTTTGGTTCCCCAGCTGACTCCCTCGGTCCAGGGCAGCCTGCCATAGGCAGCAGCAGAATCGCCCACCCATCAGTACCCTTTCCATTTCACTGGTGAGCCAGAAAAACAGCACAGCTGGGTCAGTCTGGAATAGCCATGGATGAAATGGAGCTCTCTCTTCCTGAAATCTAGAACTAACTCCACCCAAGCACTCATGTCCAGTCATTAATGAAATCACTGGTGGTAACATATGTTTTCTCAGACAACTTTCCAGATCCCAAGTGAGCTGCAGGAAGTCTGGGGTATCTGGCACTGGCCCCTCCAGGCCCCAGTACTCAAGCGGTTCCTAAGACCAAGAGTACTCAGAGGAGGCTGGGACCTGACCTGAGACTCGCAGTTCAGGTAACCCCAGCTATAGAGCCTGGTCCCTTCTCCCCTATCTGCCACCATGTGCACCATATCCCCCACCCAACCTCATGTCACAAAGAGGGGACAACGTAGCCTTTGCTGTCACAAAGAGGGGACAACGTAGCCTTTGCTGTCACCCTGTACCCTCCAATGAGTAACACCGTTTGAGACTCACATAGATGTTCAAGAGGGATTCATGCCTCATTGCTCTCTTTCCTTTCACTCCCACAAGCCACCCACTGAGTCCTGGTGACACCGCCTCGAACACTGATCCTTAATGTGCCTACTTGTTGCCATCACCCACCCAAGCTTGTCATCTCTCACCTGGAGACTCCCAAGGCCTCCTGGCGGTTCCTGACCTCAACCTTGCCTCCTACAGAACAAGTAGGAAAATCTTATTAGGACACAAGGGTGATTGTATCGTGCAGCTCAACGCACATACCTTTAGCACCCCTTGTGGTTAACATAGAATCCAAACTCCCTCTCTTGCCTCCCATGTTCTACTACCCTGACCACAGCACTGATCCCATCTCCCCTAGGTCTTCCTCCATCTACCCCCTTCAGTCACAGCCACCCTCTCTAGGGCCTTCTTTAGGGAGGATAGAGGACACAGCGTAGCCCAACACAGGCCTTCTCCCCTGAGGTGAAAAGGAACCCATAAGTCCCTCCTTCAAACACCTTTCCTTGCTCTCTATGACCTAACTGCCCAATGACAACCCCTTCCAAGCTATCCCTTCTATACTGTCTCTCTCAAGGTTGTAACTCTACTATATGCCTGGTATGTCTCCAACCTTGGTTGACTTCATGGTTCCCACCTGTTCCTATCCTCCCAGTCATCATCAAGAGCTGAGGTCCAACCTATTTTCTCTTTAGGGACCTTGCCCAGCAGCTGGGTCCCACGCTGAACCAAGAGGGAGGGGCCAGGCGAGAGAACCAACCTGGCAGTCTTTCCTGGGTGTTTAAATCTCTTCCTTATGCCAAGAACTTTCCATACCCCCTCTTTTATTTCCCTAACAAAGCAAGTAACAGTGTAGTAGCTCTATGTCACCCAGGCCACCAATCATACTCAATTCATAAAACGCTATATTGTTTTCCAATTCCTTCAAAAGCATTTCTCTTGCCTACCCCCTGTGTATCACCCATTCATCCCAACTATTTTGTAGGTGTGCTGTATGGGGACAACTCCTGGCCCTGCACATGTCAGCTGCAAAATCCCTGGCAAGTCCTCAGGCTCCCCAAGCTTCAGTTTTTCACCTATAAAATGGACATTAACACCTAATTCAAGACTTTGTGCAGACTAAGTCTGATCACAGGCACAGAGCCCAACATGGTAATATTCTGCATTAGTATTATCACTTAGGACATACACACTGAGCATCCATCCCATAGAAGGCTGTGCGATGATGAATATAAAAGAGATAAAAGGCTCTCTTAGAGCCCTGGTGTGCAACAAGAAAGACACACACAAACAACCACAACTATGATAACTGCAAATACACAGTATGTGCCAGGCACTATAAAATGTACACAAATATTCATGTAATCTCCACGTCAACCTTATGAAACATCATCCCCATTTAATAGATGAGGAAATGGAGGCAAAGAAAAGTTAAGTAATTATTCCAAGAATCATATAGTGGGGGCAGTGTCGGGGTTGAAAGCAATACAATCAGGTCCCAGGGCCTGGGAGTTCAGCTCCTTGGCTCTACTGTGTGGCCAGCAGGATGAGGCAAAAGCATAGCAAAAGCAGGTATCTTTTCCCTCCACAGCATCTGCCATCAGTTAGGACGGCAGGAAGTAGGGAGGTGCTCAGTAAATAAACCTGACTGCTGAGTGGAAGCCTGCGCAGGATTTCCATTTTATCATCCAGCTGCTGTCTGGTCATCTTTGGGGCTATGCGTCCATGTCACTGTCATCGTCAGCCCCATCGGAAAAGCAAGCAAGCTGACTGTGGAAGGCCTCGCACAAGGTGTGGCCACGGATCTCCTGGAAATCTGGGCAGACCACCCAGCAGGCTTCCCACCCACAAGCCGGCTCTGAGGGCAGGAAGTGGAATCCGGAGACAAGCAGGAAGGGGGGGGTGTGCATTCAAGACCGTCTACCCAACTGTTACTGCAGCAGCCTAGAGGTGCATTGAGGAAGGGGTATCCCGCAGTCACATAAACTCTGTGTCTTCCACACATTTCCAGCCTGCAGTCCCCACCTCTGGAAGGAAAAAACAAGGACTGCCCGGCACACCCAGTGATGGAAGGAAAGTGCCTAGGAGTCAGAGAACGTGAGTCAGCAGAGCGCGGCTGCTGATTCTTAAGAAAAATGGATTTGACTATGTGATGATCTCCTGGAACAGAAGGGACCTGGCTTTCCCTGGGCAATAGGTGATGTTCAAGGCTTAGGAACAGGAGATAAACCACATGCTGCTAAGTAAACCGGAGCATTCTCTGATCCAAAAGATAAAGCTGCTGTACTCAGGACTCCAGAAGAAATTTTTAAAATATACAGATGATTTATTCCCACCAGGGAGGGTTGAAATCCTAAGTGTTTAAATAAATTTAACCGAGCAATGTGAAGAGTCTTTCGTAGTTCTCATGGTGGTGCAGCATTCTCAAGGCCTCTCAACGTCTTAAAGTGTATCATGAGACTGCAAGAATTAAATCAGGATGATAAGAATAGAGCAGAAACTGAATCACACGAAAAGTCCAAAAAGAGACCCATCTGTATCATAAAGTGAAATAACTGGGGAGAGGAAATGACAGACCAGAACCAAAACGTGGTGCTGGTACCGCTGGCGAACCATCTGAGAAGAGTAACAGGCTACTTCGGGCCTTGTGTCAACGTATCCCACTGCAAAAAGTGAAACTGCAAGAATTACTGGAAGAAAATGTAAGTAAATATTTACATAATCTCCAGACTAAGAAGGCCTTTATAAGGACGACACCAAAAAAAAAGCCATAAGATATACACAGGTTGAATATCCCTAATCCAAAATTCTGAAATCTAAAGTGCTTCAAAATCTGAAACTCACTGAAGACCACACTATTCCTCAATGGAAAATTCCACACCATGAAGCTTTGTTTCATGAACAAAATTATTTAAAATACTGTATAGGGGCCGGGGGTTTAGCTCAAGGGTTCCACCGCCTGCCCAGCAAGCACAAGGACCTGAGTTCGATCTCTGGTATCAAAATAAATAAATAAATAAATATTTTAAAATAAAATACTGTATAAAAGTACCTTCAGGCTATGTGTACTAGGTGAACATGAAACAGAAATGAAGTCAGGTGTGGTGTCACACACCTTTAATCTCGGTTACTCTGGGAGGCTGAGGCAAGAGGATCAAGCATTCTGCTAGCCTGGGCAGTTTAAAAAGACCCTGTCTCAGAGTAAGACAGAAAAAGCACCAGAGTTGAACAGGCCTAGATTAGTGACAGAGCAGCTGCCTAGAGTGATAAGACCCTGGGTTCCATACCCAGTACTGCAAAAAAAAAAAAAAAAAAAAAACATAATAGATCTATCATAAACAC